CATCAACAAACGAACCAGAGTTGGATTAAAGCGAACTAAAGATGTGGTGAGGAATTTCAGCAGTCCTGGAGTTTCAACACAGATTATAGAGAAAGTTGTTTCAAACAGAAAGTTTTGCTCAAACTAAGAAGAAATTATTCAAAGCGTCACATTGACCAATTTTCCCAGCCATGAGAGTAAAATATGAAGCTGCAGATTAAGAGAGTAAAACAGCAGCAAGGACAGAAACCAGCAGGACGTCCTGAGCAGTAGAAATATGGCAACGCCGGGTTTGATGCATCACTCAGAGCCAGATGTACCTAATGAACTGGCAACTGTCTGAAGGGAATCGGAGGGGGAAAAATGAGGAAGTTGTTCTTTAATTTAAAAGAACTAATTAAACATCAAATCCAAATAATGAGGGGAAAGCGCGGTGAATCCTGAGAGGCCTGCAGATTAATTAATTGCGTGGATTTCTGCTCTACTTTCCGCCGCTCGCTCGTGTGTGTTCATGGGCTGTGAAGATAATCGGGAGAAGAACGCCGCCTCCGGATGGAGCGGCTCGGCGCCAACGGCAGCTGACGGACGAGAGGCGGACGTGGGCCTGGGAGCCGGCGGAGTTGAGGGGAGTCTAACACATTCACACATGGAAAAAAACATGTAGGCGAACACTTCATGATGGGTCTGCTAATGGCAGCCAGGAAGGGATAAAAACAAAGATGTTCCTGCTTTTAACAGATTTGTTTCCTCCAAACAGGAACAATCAGACGCAGCAGAGCTTCCTGATCCTCCATCTCCGTCACATTGGACGCAGAGATGTTAACCGAGTGCCGATTTAAGGCATTAATTAGCACATTTTCTATGTCAGCAGCCTTCGCATCACACATGACGGCTGCACCGCTCTGAGCTCTGGATCACCCAACAGTCACTTTCTCTGTGTGTTAATGTATGCATCAAAATATTTCTGCACATAATGAGATCACGGAGCGGTCGGAGAGGAAGGTGAGGCAGGTGACAGCGACTACTAAAAATATTAGAAAGCTGCTCGTCATCAACAGATCTGAGGGGGAAACATTTAATCTGAGAAGTTCAAAGTCTGACATTTTGTCATGTTGCACCACAAACTGCAAAGATTTATCCCTCATTTCATGTTTATGAGCGACTTTTGTGTTGCTCTGGCACAAAAAGTCCCAATAAAACACACTGCAGTCTGTTGGTGTAACATTACGAAATGTGAAAACGTTCAAGATAATATTTATTAATATAGCATAATAAATAAAGATGTAGGGGGCGCCGTTTGTAAAGCTACACAGTCAAAAATTAACAGCAATAATTTGGGTTATTTAGTCTGAAATAAGGAAAAATGGGGCTTGATTTCCCAAAGCCATACAGTTACCATTTGTTCAATTATAAAAGCCACTTTTAGTTAGAATGAAGCTAAATATTTAGCATAAAGCTAAATATTTAGCTTGCCAACTAAACATTTAGGTTGGATTCAAACTAAAGTTTAGCTCGCTAACTAAATATTTAGGTTGGAGCTGCGTAGTTAGCTTCAAGATTTCAAAATAAATATTTATTTTTTGCTGCTGGTTGATTGTCAAGCATGAGACAATCTGTCCAAGACTGATTCAGGGAGTAAACAGAGAAGAATCAAGGTGCTGCAATGGCCTAGTCAAAGTCTAGACTGTTAACTGTGGTGGGACCTCTAAAGAAATGTCTCCTTCTCCACTCTGGTAAATCCTGTGATATACTACTTTGTTTTGCTCATTTCAGAAAATTATTTTTTATGTCCTTTGATAAATAATAGATTATAATGTTATCTATAACTGTTATAACTGATATAAATTCCTAAAAATTACTTTTTGCACATAAATGTAAATTTTATATCAGTCCCAACTTCTACCTGAGACGTTGATCACTTAGTCTGCATAGATTTTGTTTCTAATATTTGTCAGAAACGGATTCATGTGTTCATACAGTAATGATTAAACTAATGCTTAGATTTGTAAAAATGAGCCTGGCACATAAACACATCTCCCCTTTGAATAGAAATGTGACTCCTGAGGGGGAAAGAGGTAAAATCCCGAGTATCACTGATCGTCACGTTAATGTTAGTAAAGCAGGTTAACAGAGCCGCTGCACATTAAATCAGGGAGTAAAGCCCCAACAAAGCAGGTCTGAGGAGAGTTTCTGTGTTTGTCTCCGGGTTAGTCAGTCAACCAGCCATAAATCGCTTTCAAATACAATCACACGCTGCAATGACCACAACACACCCTGAGTCGGACGATGGCTTCGAGAAATGCCTTTTGGCAGCTCTGCAACACAAACAAACACAAACTGTACATTCCCAAAGCAGGGTCAAAGTTCAGCAGTAAATCTCAGCATGTAAACATGCTCAGATCTCATGTTTTAGGCGATTAAATTCACACTCAGAGTTGTTTGTTGAATCTTCTTTGGGGGAAAACCAGCGAGAAGCGGCCAAACAGAATCGTTAATCAGTTTGGAAAAGTCCAGTCGGCAGTTTCTCTGAAGGCTTGCAGACGGCGACGGGAACCGGGGTTCACCCATGAAAATCAGCTGCAGGAAATCAAACACTAAATATCCTCTCTAATCATCCAGGAGCAAATATGTTGGAGCTTTTTTTTTTTTTTAAATTTCTATCCTTTAAAGCCCGGAAATTGGGATGAAACTTCAGATTTTAACATTTCTCCATCATTTCCAGACCATAAACCACCTAAAAAATCAGTAGAACGAATCAAACTATGGAAGCTGTAACTGTATTACAACCTCTTTGCCATTTTCATCAAGGCTGCACAATAACAGGTGCAATAAATCCCATTTTTTCACCAGTACCTTCAGCATTCTGGGCATCTTCTCCAGGGACACTCCATCCAACCAAATATTAGCATCCAACTCTGACACTACGATGAGATGTATCACATCTGTCACACTATTCAGAAATAAACTTGAGAAAACTGTTATATCCAATATGCGTGTTTCATTCAGGCTGTGAAAGAGCGAGAGAGAGCCAGATTTCAAATTTTAAATAAGATTTTTTTTAAACCAGGTGAAGCTAAACTACCACTTTAGGAGTCCAGAGTTTTGTATTTTAAATGCAATATTTATATATTTCTGTACAGTTTTAGCTTAATTGCTGCTTTTTGTCTGTTGTTCTTTAAGCAAATGGCCTTCTTTTGATGCCCCAGGTGCCTAAAGCAAGTCTGAACATTATCACTTCAATAGATTGATTTGGTTGGTATATTTAGATCTAAAACTGGCCTCAGAGGGTAAATCAGAGTCTAAAAACGTAAAAACCTGCAGGGTCAGGCTGAAAGCGCCACGCCCTGCCACCTTTTTAGCAACAGATCCGGTCTGATCTGACGGCATCAGATCTGCAGAGGCCTGATTTGTAAATTTATTCAGGGACGGATGGAAGACAGCTCAGCTTTGTCAGACTCGGCCGTGTTAGAAATAAAAGCGTTTGGGTTGTTAATGAGGCAAACGCCTGAAAACGGTCAAATTTAAACTGAAGCTAAAGACGAGAGAATAAAGATTTTAACAGGGCTGGTCGATTGGAAAGTCTGAAGATGGAAAATATTTTTTATTGAAGTCTTCTAGGGTTGAGCATTAAACTGATTTAATCTATTAATCAAATTTTTGGTTTTGGAAGATTGAATTTTTGGAAAACTGGGATTTTTCTTTCACCAATGTACTCCTTGCTCAGGGCGGCCATCTTGTTTGACAAGCATGCTTTACACTTTGAACTGAACATGAAGGTCAGGCTACATTTTTTATTTCCATTAACAGTCGTACGACAAAACAGTTAAAATAATATGAGAATAAAGTGGCAACTTCATGAGATCTCCAAAAATAACCAAAAAGTAAAATATTGAGCATCTTGAGAAGCTAAACGTTGATTTTAAACATAAGGAAACACTTTGAAACTTTCGTAAAAATTACTGAGTATTTTGAAGAAAGAACTACACTTCTTTCTTCTTACAGAAAAAAACATTTTTTCACATAATTTTAAGATTTCTTCTGGTAAAATTGCATCTTTTTTCTGCTAATATTTTGGCTAAGTTGTTATAATTACACCAAAATCCTGCGACGTGCAACTCACAGAAGGGATGACTGAAATAAAAAACACTTTTTAAACATATTCTCTCTCATTTGTAATTTATTTTTTAGAAAACAAAGAAATCATTGAAAAGATTAATTTTTAAGCCATAATGCTTAAAAATGGCTTTTTACAAAGATTTTCGCTATAAATTGTTCCAAACTAAAGATTCACATCAACCAACAACATCCAGTTTCTCTCAAAGATCAATAAACTTTAATTTCTAAAGAATACCAGTTCATGATTAATCAATTACTAAATTTGCTATTTCAATAATCAAATCATCACGATTAATCCGATTAATCGCTTCAGCGCTAAGATAAAGAAAATACACAGCAGCTGCAGTCGCAGGTTTTCTCTTTTTTTACTAATTTTTCTTAGACACAGAGAAAAACATGCTGTGTTCTTTCAGCAAATGTTCTTTTTTAGAGTGTATGCTCCAGCTAACGATTAATTGATTACTAAATTAGATTAATCACGATAAATCCACCAGGAGAAGTCTGATCTGTAAATAAAAGCTAAGAAGAGGATTCCTGCAACGCCTGTTGAAGTTCAGCCGGATTTAAACGCAACAGAAACCTGGAATTATGTGAATTTCCCACATTCCTTCCTCCTGTAAACACTTCCTGCCTTGTTATTACCAACAAGCCACCTGGACACCTGAGCGGGCGTGTGTGCCGTAACTGAGAAAAGACCTTCATCTATAATGGAGAAGCCGCCACGCGCTCGTATTTTCACCTCATTTTAAAGTCAAATCGAAGGGAACCTCGCGTGCACCTGCTCCCTGCGCCCAGCCGGGCCGTTTCAAACCCCCCGGCGTCCTCTGAGGAGGACTCCAGCCCCAGCTTGGAGCCCCTTCAGCAGTGATAATCTGTTGATAAGCTGCCCTGCCTGCAGCACTCAC